CTTCATTCAGTGAACTTGAAGTAATAAAATACAGATTTTTCTATATATTGAATTATTTTTTATCTCTCACAGGACCTTCTATGGGCCGAAACGAATGTTACTCCCTAAAATTATTCCTCATAAGGCATACATCCCACTAGTTTATTTCAAAATTGGCGAGTCACACTTCCCTAGTTTCCCTTGTTAGTGTTTTTTATTGAATTTATCTGACACAGAGAATATAAAATAATTAAATATTCAAATGTGTGCAATAAACTTTTTTTTTGCTCAAATAGAGCTAAAAGTTAGAAATTATAACTAATGTTATCGTTAATAAAATTTAAAACAGTGACTAACGCTTAACCAATTAGAAAAATTCATTTGGTTATTCGCTCATCGCTATTTAATGAATGAATTAATATTTGAAAAAACTGTATTAACATCATCCACTAAAAGTAAAAATGTATTTCAACTTGATTGGATGAATAAAAAAGTATTTTATTAACGACTGAATTTTTTGAACAAGGTATAGGGAGATGGTGAACTAATAGTAGGAATTGAAAAATATTGACTAATACATTTATAATTTGGGAATGCATACTTAAAACATATAGTGTCAACAAATACAATAAAAAGATTAAGCAGCAAATTATGACAAATGTAAGAAAATAACTAGAAAATTAAACATTACATTACATCAAGAACTGGTATGTCTAACTATTATTCAGAAAATAAATCCTAAACAGAGTGACCGTAGTGATCTAAATTTTATTGGTTTCAAAGCTAACCAAACTTTTTTATTCCAATTTATTTGTACAAATTTATAAGAAGCTGCATTACCATAAACAAAACAAAAATTATTACAATTGATGCTCGGAGGAACAATGAACTAGACCAGTAACAGAATGGTTACTTTAATAAATATTTAAGAAGATGGCTATTTTTACTTTAGCTACACATACAAAGTACTAAATACAGAGTATCTGTTACATTTTAGATTTTCAAATTCATGACTTAATTCAAGAATTTTTATGACTTAACGAAGTTACTATTTTCTCTGACAAAAACAAAACAATAAATTAAAAAAATTATTATAATAACTTTAATTGACATGATAGGTATAGCTAAACTGTTGTACTCTGCACCTTCATAGTTATAGATTTTAAACTTAAAAAACAGAGTAAAAGAGTTAAAGCAATAAAATAGCTCAAAAAAAAAAATACAAAAGCAAATAACTAAAAACTGTCTGATATATGTACTTATTTAAAGCTGTTTTATTTCTGCTTTAAATTAAGTGAAATATAAAAAGCCTAAGCTAGAATTTCAAATTGATAAAATAAAAAATAAATAAATAAAAAAAAATCTGAAATCACAGGAGTATAAAAGACAATTCGCTCTAGAAATGATGTTCTTTCTTTCATTCTTTGCAGAACACCATAATTTTTAAAGAACAGGATAAAAACATTTAAAATTCTACTGCGAAATTGGGCAAGAGGGTAAAATTCTATTTTAAGAACTAGATTTTTAGACGACCTAAACCCATGACGCAACATGATTTTTTTGAAAAAAATAGTTAAAATCATGACAAATTTTTTTCAATACCGAAATCCATTACTTTCCAGGTGCACAGATTCCCTGTTCAAAGCTAACCAAACTCTTTTATTCCAATTTATTTGTACAAATAACTTGCATTTTCATAAACAAAACAAAAATGATTACAATTGATGCTCGGAGGAACGATGAACTTGACACCAGTAACAGAATGGTTACTTTTCATTTTAATAAATATTTAAGAACAGGGCTATTTTTACTTTAGCTGCATGTAAAAACAGAAATATTACTAAATATTCCTTCTACTGCATAAATTACCTGAAATATTGTACCATCCAACTCTGAGAAGGCCTTCACTGCATGTTCGGCAAACATAAATGTCACAAAAGCAAAACCTTTAGACTTTCTTGTATTGAAATCAATTGGCACATGGAGCTCAGCAATTGGACCTATAATCAGTAATGATTCAGAATACATTGGCTCTTTATAGTGCAGAACATAAATTTTAATGGATAAATCAATATTCCACTTACCATATTTTACAAAAAGTTGTTCAATATCAGCTTCTGTTACAGTATAGCAGAGATTTCGAATATAAATTCTTCCTGTCTAAAATAGAATTTTACAAAATGGACAAAAAGAAAAAAGATATGAACAGTGAGTAAGACATGTAATAAAAATTTTAAGTTTGATGGTAAGTCTATAAATTTTGCAGACAGTTTGGGAGATTCTATTTGCGTGCCTGCCAACATTGGAGAAATAAAATAAAGGAGATTTCACTAGCGATATTTTTTGGGCTACGAGTAAAGTTTTGATACATGTAAGTCAAAATTGGATGTAATATAAGCACTTACATTTAGCGAAGTAAAAAAATATGTATGTAAAACTTAATCTTGAGAAGAATTTTTTGAACCATTATTTATAATTACTTAAACTATCTTTAATTTCTTTTATAACCGTCGTTGAACAGAGGACTCAATTTTGGGTTTACGACTACTAAGATTCTACTCTGTAGCCTTGTAACTTTGAAGACAAGGGAACTCCTGAATCAAGGAATCCAGAAGACAAGGAAACTCCTGATTCAAGTATTGGGAGAAATTTGCCTTCATGCAGGATTTTTTGATGCAACTAACCAGCTTTTTGAGCGAAAAAGCCTGGATAAACAATTTTTTCTTCTTTCCAAAATGAAATTTTTCTAACTTTCATGATAATGCAAAAATCGATGAAAATTGTCTTACTTCTAATACTATCCAAAGAAATACTATCTAATTCCAATACTATCCAAGAAAACCAAATTGCTGATGCTTTAGGGAAAAAAGTAATAGTAATATCAAAAAGTTCAATAACTGATGCATCACTGAGAACTTTGAAAAATTCCCAGTCAACATCTTTTTTTTTTTTGATTACTTGTTTTGTAGGGATTTAGGAATAAATGTGAAAATCAAACAAAAATCAAATTTCAGCTTGAAATACAATGCATATATTGTTTGTCTGTTTGTTATTTTCAATAAAATTTTGTTTATTTTAAGCTCATTTTAATTTTTTAGTATATAGTTTTAGTGTTTTCATGAAGTAAATCTCATTTTAATGTCAATATTGCATTAGCTATGCTTAATTCCATATTGATTTAAAATAAAATGGATTAATTTATGATATAAATAAAAAAAATATCTAAATTTTTTAAAAATAATTTAAAGAGATTGTAATGTAACTTTAAATGAGCTAAGCATTTAAATGAAAACAATTCTACATAATTAATCATAAATTTCATGGCTCAAGACATCATGTCAGCAACGCATATTTTTACTCTCAGCAAAAATTTATTTTAATTTTCATAAATTGGAATGACAGCAGACATCACTCAATTACATTATTACTACAGGGTTGGAGTTTTGGACAGGACATATGGGCTTTACTCTCCAAAACCTTGAACATTGGTAAAAGGCTAAAAATTCTATTTGTGTAACCATTGTACACATAATAATTACATTTATTAATAAATATTTTATACTTTTTAAACACTTTGCTTTAACTTATTAAAGGAAAATAATATAACATAATAGGAAAACATTTATAACTTTTGAAGCTCTACAATTCATTGAACAACAAAAGTGAATACATTATATTTTAAATATGCTTTTAATACTGATGAATTATGTTTTTGCATAAGGATAAATAATGCAATATTCGAAATAATAATAAACTTTTTAAATAAAGCAAGAACTTCTCTTCACTTTGCTTCCAGTTCAAAAATTAAGCTTTTATTTTCCCCAATATTTTTCTTAAAATTGTGACATAATTTGAATAAAAAAGTTTTGGACAGTTTAAGACAGTTTTGGATAGGACGGCTTAAATCATGCATTATTAAATTCTGTACTAAATCTTGCAAACTTTATGTATTACATGTGACAAAACTTAAAGGAAGTATAAGTTTGAATTAGAAATTTTAAAGGCAGCACACATTACTGATAAAGCGAAATTTTTAATGAGTTGTAACTATCAAACTTCACAAATTGTTAGTTTAAAAATAAATATCTTTCCACTAACAATACATAATTTTTTGTTTGGTAAGGACAAAACAGAATGTAAAGAAAGGAAAATAATAACAATAATCATAAAATAATAACTTTCTGAATAGCACTGTTTTAATAAAATCTACAGCCATCTAAAAGTATTTACCTCTGAAAGAAGTTCTTCATTTAGTTCTTTATCAGGCGTTAAAAAAATAGTAAAATAAAATTACTAGTAAATATAACAGTGTTTTATTCAACTCTTTGGGTTTTGAAATATCAAACAGGGTGAACAGCCAGATTTTTCAACAAAAAATAAGCACCTTTTAGGTACTTTTTAAGCACTCAAAAAATATTTTGAATCACTTTCCATAAAAAAAAAATCATAATTAGGATCTTTGCAGTAATAAAAATTATTTCTTTCTATCATTTAAAGTTCTTAATTTACGAACATGAAATCAATAAAATTCAAAAAATTTTTCACAAACTTTACATAATCATGATAAAATAACTAGTGTCTCATAAATATTGCAGAGAAATTGCAGTCAAAATCATGCATTTTATGTAATTTAGAACGACAATCGACACAGCAAAGAAAAAATCTTTTTAAAAGACAGAAAATTAAACACTTTTTACAAACCCCAAATTAAAAAAAAGTACCTTTAAGGTCTTTTAAAAAATTTAAATCAAAATAAGTGTCTTTAAACACTTTTTAAAAACATTACACACCCTGTCACATTTAGCTCTAATTAATCAGCAAGGTTGCGAGCCAAATCTGGAAAAAATAATTCCACATGTTTTTCCTATACATACTACAAACAATATATTCAGAGAAAAAAAAACGATCACTGTTTTTTTTCTCTGAATATATTGTTTGTAGCATGAGCTCTATTGGGCTAACTATAATACTTTTATAATTGCTGAAAAAACTTAAGAGATAAAAATAACACTAAACACCCGGTGGCTGAGTGGTAGCGCCTCGAGCTCCAGTGCCACAGGTTCTGAGTTCGATCCTCGGGCCTGGCAAGGTTGACTCAGCCTTTTATCCCTTCAGTGGGTCAATAAATGAGTACCAAGCATGCTTGGGAACTAAACACTGGGGGTTGCGCGTTTGGCTGACCACCTGACCGGTACATCTGCTCCCGCACCCCAGAGCCCATGGACAAAAAAAATTAGATGGGCACAGTAAGCATTGGCCCTCCATGGGCTGTCGCGTTACTGTGTTTAGTTTAGAACATACACGAAACAAAAAAATGCTATGATGTTATTTAATTGCTATTAGTGACGTTATTTTTTTTTATTATTTATGAAAAAACGAACAGGTGAACATACTCAAAACAAATAATGCTATGGTAAATGAACTATTTTAAAATAGCTGAAATACCATCCTTAAATAAATCATAGATTTCACTTCGCTTGGTTACAATTTTTTAAAAGGCAAAAATACGAAACAAAATTCTCAGTTTCTAAAGAAAAATTCAAAATTCTGTGTTATTTTAGGTAATTTTTGAATTCCATGTATTCTCCAGGTTTTCCCAGTAGAGTGGCAACCTTGATTTAATCATGAGAATAGAATTCTATAACATTTTTTTTTATATTAAAAGAACACAAAAAAAATATAAAAAACAATACACTAAAAAAAAGACTTTTTTGTATGAAAGAGTAAATTCTCTCACCTTCTCATTTTGCTTAGGTTTTCCATCAGATTCACATTTTTGAATGTATTTTAACATCTGTACACAACGACCATCTAATAAAAGTGTTAAAGCATTAGTTTACATGCTAACTTTAAGAGGATGCTATACCGCGAAAGAAATTTTTCGTCATACCTAGAGTAAGCCATGGAAGTTTCAAACATTGAAAGGAAATTTTCAAACTATACGAATTAAAATAAATGATGAGATGATAACTTAGGATGACGCAACGGAGAAGTTCTCTTCTAATAATCGGTTTGCATTTTAATATTTCAAAGTATTTTTTCAGCAATTGAAACTTCATGATTTACTCTAAGTTTGTCTGAGCTTACTTTATGTTTCTTTTAACTCTTAAATTAGTAAAGAAGGAGAATTTGCTACCAAATTTTCTTCTGCGGTAGGGTGTTCTCTTAAAAGTTACAAAAGTAATCAGGCTAAACAATTTGCACAAAAATAATACATTTATAATAAAATTTAGACACGTAAGAGGAAAAGGAAATTGCTTAGATGTAAAACCAACATTTGCTATACATAAGGTGCCAGGTAATCAACTCTCTAAGAAGATAACTCAAACCATTTTATTCATTCTCACTAGTTCCAGTTTCTCCACAATAAAATTTCCTTCAACTTCCTTATTGTATTTGCTATGAGTCGCGGTGAGTAAAACTACATTTCTTGGCAGTTAACTACAATTATGAACTACACTTCTTGGTAGTTAACTACGGTTACTAATGTTCAACTACGTAGCTTTGTAAATTTTAACCCAGTCCAGAAGACAAAGGAACTCCCGGATGAAGTATTTGGACTGAATTATTGTAATGAATGATGAATAAAATCCCAATCGTTCATTTTGAGGAATGCTATTTCTATTTTCATCCTTTATTAGAAGTAGCAGATGGACAAATAAATAAAATAGTTTAATAAAGTAGTTATAACTTTAAAGCTTATTTTAATTGGTTTGGTTCATAATAGAATTGTTTGCATACATGAGTAGATAACATGTAGCAATATTTTACTTTAAAATCGTCGTTGAACAGCCGACCCAATTTTGGACTTACGACTACTAATGTTCAACTCCGTAGCTTTGAACCAATCCAGAAGACAAGGAAACTTCTGTTTCAGTACCCCCATATGTATAATTTGTTATGGGAACATGGAAGACTTTGTGACTGGACAGGTTTAACATGCATCAGTCACACTACACAATTGCTTACAAACACTTATATTCATCCTTTTCTGAACGACAAAAATATATGTTAGACATTAAAACGATTGGAATGTATATACAAAATTAAGTTGAGTAGAAACAAAACTATGATGCATTACAAAAATTATAACTTAGTTTTGTTCATACCTAACTATGATGCATCATAATATCATTAAAATTATTATAATTAGAAGGCTTACTTAAAAACCCTTTATTTTTAATCAGGGCTTGCTTCAAATCTTTTTCTGTTTTAAAGCCTACAAATGCAAAACCTAAAATAAACAAGAAAAAACGTTGATAGTATTTAAAATAAACGATAAGACTTCTAGAATATGTGTTTAAATTTTGAAACCTTTTCTTTTCGGTGGAAGATGAAGACTAGCTATTTTGAGAGAATTGAAGAATTTTTTGATTTGTGCCTAAAAAGACAGATTAACATTGTCAAACAAAGAACTAAATTTTAAAAAATGAGATTAATTTTTGATTTTGAGTATTAACATATACCTTTTTGCATTGATAAGGTAAGTTGGTAAGCTTTACCGTAAACAACTCCTTATATTTTTTCTGCAAAATAATAATATGGAAATTAAAAATTATAAAGCAATATCAATAAACAAGGCAAGAGCTCTTAACAAAAACCTATAGAGAATCTTAGTTTCATTAGGACTAATTCTTTGAAAATAATATTGGTACATAGAGGAATAAGAGTGATTTTGTAAAAAGAAAAATATACAATTATATACTACAATATAATATACTATATAATAAACAATAATACACTAAATAATAATATACTTTAGGGGCGCACAGTCTGCGGCCCTATGATTTGTACATCATTAAATTTTAACAGTAAAAAAATTTAATCAAGATAAGTTTCATAAAGTAATGTAAATTTTAATAAATTTTTAACATATAAATGTATTTATTGTAAATAATAAATTGTCATGTTAAAAAAGTATTGGTCATAAAGAGTTGTAAATAAGTATCTTAATAGTTTTTTTTTTATTATTATTAAGGAAAATAGTTCCTTCAAAATTAATGTTTTCTTTCTTTCTTTTTTCTTCCCTATCTCAACCCCTGCCTCTTATAATTAATTTAAAATTAAAATATTTTTAAGTTAAAGAATATTCCCTACTAAATGCTGAATTTTATTTTCAGCTGAAGGGGTTTTGTTTTAATTTTAATCAATTTTAACACTATAAACTGTCTTTAAATCAAAGTATTAAACTTGTATTTATTTTAATAACTGGAATATTTATTTTTTAAATTTAATTCTATGAACAAATATTTTAATGTTAAAATTCATGTTTAAATGGACTTTTGTATTATTTAATATGATAAAAAACATGAATTTTCCCTTAGTTCTTTTGTCATTGAAATTTACTGAAATTTTTTCCTGATAAATTGATTCTTATTTTCTGATTCTGTTTTTCTCCCCAAGTAATCGGTTTTGAAGTTTCTAATTTTAAACATTCAAAAGTATTTAATTTTATACAAACATATGACAAGGGTAACTGAAAAAAGAATTCAGTGCCTAGAACAATGATGTTTATATAACAATTACTATATACAATTGCTGTCAACATGTCTGTCTAAATACTTTGGCATGCAGCCCTTCGTTGGTCAATCTGCTGTGCATGTCGCCCTACACTCAAAAAAGTTGTGCACCCCTAATAAACTTTAACGGAATTTAGGAGTCAAATTTTTTTTGACATTTCAGCTCTATCCCCTGGTAATAGACTCAAGTAACTTTCTATATATTTATGCTTGCTTTTAAGTTTGATTTTAATTTGAAATTTTTATAATAAAAAGGAACATTAAACATTAAAGAAATCTAGCATTTTAATTGTAAGGATGAATACGAATTTTAGATAATAGTATGATTAGTACGTCATATAAAAATTAATAATGCATAAACCAATTTTTTTTAAAAAAAAATTAAATATATCAGTCAGACACTAAGTATTTTTAGAATCATCTAGAAATTAAAAGAACACAAATCTTTTTTTTTTTATTTTAAGCCAAAAAAAAACTTAAAAATTGAAAAGAAAAAGATAATTGAACACAATTGAATTGGGAAAACACAATTGAATGCTCCAGTTTCCTGTATATTATAAAAACTGACAACTTAAAAGTGTACTAGCTACATGCATAGCTAATTCGGTCTAATTTTTTTTTACTTCTGAACCCAAACACTTTCATTTCAAAGCAATGGAGTTTCACAAACATAATACAAGAAAGTTGCCATCATAATGCTTATATTAAAAGATGCTTATAATGCTTATAATATGCTTATAATGAGCCACAAATTGCAAATTTAAATTGAGAAAAGTTATTTTTTTTAAGGGAAATACATGTTTCTAATCTTTAAATGAGAAGTACTCAGAAATTTTAAGGATCTGCTCAAACAAATTTATTTATTTTGGTTTTCTCAGCTTTTGAAATAGCAGTTTCTTCAGAAATAATGTAAAAAATAAATTCTTCTAGAATACTTGGAGAAATTTTTCTGCATTATTCATGTTCTGTATTACAAATATTCTACTGTTTTATAAGCAAAATTGAAGAAAGTTTTTATTAATTCAGAGGTAATTGTGAGCCCAACTCAAACATCCTGAAAATTTTTTGAGTAAAATCATTAATGATGTATTTTGAAAATATTAATGTCTTTATAAATTTAAATCATTGATATTTTCACAACATGCAATTCTAAATAAATTATATGCAGTATAATTTAAATGAATAATTATATATAAGTTTACTTTTATCTCTAATCACATTTATTATTCTACCAGAAAATATATTTACAAATGTAAGAGATTCCAAGCATAAATTTTAGTTCTAATATTTTTAAATAAAATATACAAGAATATTTATACATAAATGTGATCGATGATTTCTTGAAATTTCTGGACCTAGGACAACCAAAAACTTCTGGATCGTGGTTAGTGAAAAGTCCAGAATCATGGTCATCAATGACCTAAAAAACTATTACACACCTCATTCTAATACTCTGTAGTATACTCTAAATGTAGTCAAATACTTCATAATTTTTTTTTTCAATCTAAAAAGCTGTTCAAAACAAAGGAGATAAAATTTCCTTTTATACTTGCTGTATTAATGTCAAATGCACAAATTGATTGCAATGACAGGCTCACTATAACGAAAATTCTGTCTTTTTTTAGGAATAGTCGTATAACACACTTTTACTGTAAATTAAATAATTAACCTGTTTGTCTGTTGTTGATTTAAGAGAATCTTTTTGATCTTTTCTTTCTACCTAAAAATAAATAGATTAAATAAATTTTATTAGTCTGTGGAAAGTTTTGCTAAATGAATATACTGCTTGATTTCCATACTCTTATAACGCAATTAAAATTAAGTTAATTTAAACTGAAATATATTAATTTCTTCTTTTATTCCTTCAACTTAAAAAACTTTTTTTGAAAGAATGAATTAAAAGTTTTGTTGGGATCACAAACTTTTTAAAAGGGTACTAAGCTGAAGCTAATTACCTGCATTAAATTCAAGCTCGAATAAATGAATAGAAAAGAAATTAATAACTTAAGCTTTTCGACATTTTTAAAATCTAAAACTATTCTATGTAAAAATTTATTCTACATTTCTTTCACTTAGCATGAAAATAATGAATTTGTAATATACTTTAAAATTAAGAATAACAAGGATAAATCATTAATGAAAAAACAAATTATTCTGTATTTATAACTCATCATTTTAATAAGTAATATCAGGAATCCAAAACTCATTCAAACACCTTTTTTATTGAACTAAAAAATATTCAGAATTAGAACATTTTGTTAACTATTACAGTTTCAGTGGGTACCATTGAAATTTAACAATAAAAATACATTAAATTAAACCCACATTTTTATTAAGCTACATTAATGCACACTTTATTACACATATCTTTGTTTTCAAATAGTTATTTATCATCTAATAAATAGTTGGATTTAATTAAGAAAATTCAAACGAAGACGAGAACGTGATGGCTTTAGCGGCACAACAATTGTAAACGAATGGCAGATGGGGTTGGGTAACGACAATTAGTGAAGTTTGAGAGTTTTGAGAGATTCTGAGTTGGCTGTAATTATCCCTTAATATTATTATAAATAATAATAAATGTTTATTAACTTTATGCTTTAAGAAATTCAATTTTAAAAAATGCCAGCTTAATATAAAAAGTAAAAATAACAAAATTATTAATTCCTATACTGATGGTAAGTAAAACAAAGGACAGCACTGTTGTATAAATTTTATAAGATTGGTTAGAAAAAAATTTTTCCTTTCATCATAATTTATTGATTAAAGTTAAATTATAATTATTATTAATTGCTAGTACTCTAAGAAGTTTGAGAAAAGATAACGAATTAACCCTAAGAATTCCAGGTTTTCCAGTAGTATTTTTACTGCTACCCTGGACACAGGAAACACATTTTTTATCTAACAATCTATGCACTAAAAGCCTCGAAGAATGGCTTACCAAAAGCTTTTGTGCAGGACACTATACCTGGTGGCCCATTTAGATTGATGGACACAATGATGACCATGATGCTGTTGGTCAAGATGCTTTGCTTTAAAGACGACAAATCTAACTTTTACAAAATTCATTCTTTCTTAATATATTGTATTCTTACTAATAATTTATAGAATAAATGCCATTTATTTCTATAAAACCAAACCACTTTAACAAAACAAAAAATTTAATTTGAAAAATTATTTGTTTAAAAATTATAGAAAGTTTTTTAAATTAAAGCAACTCAAATTACCATTCTGATGTTTTATGATCAAGTTATATATGCTTTTCTTATAATGAATGAATTGCTCTCTCTCTCTCTCACTTTAACTCATTTTAGGAAAAGCATAGTTTTATAGAATTGTTTTTATTGAAATATGCTTACATTACACTCATCAAAACACAAAAAAATTTCGAGCATGAAAAATTATATTTAAGAAATAATGTGGCCCGTATAATCAATCAATGAACTAACCATTTAGTTGATCATTAGTTTTTTTATGCAATTTGTTTCATTCTTTTTTATAATTTACTGACTTGCAACTTTAATCTATCATTAAAACATATGATAAATCTCAAAAGGGCTAATTATACATTTTTAAAAAGATTCATTTGTCAATAACTGCTTTAAGTTTTAAAAAAATCTTGAATGGTTTAATTGGTTACTCCAATTGAATTATTACCAATTTATGAATGTCTTTAGAACTCTTAACTATAGCATGAAAATAAAATTAGTGAAAAATATAGGTCACAGTGTTAATAAATATTTATTGAAACGGTGCGTACGCACCTTTGGTCAAAAATGGGTTGACATAAAAACCGAATTTTTATTCAAGGTAATTTAAAATTACAGTGCACTTCTTACAGTGCAAATTCAAACTGGATAAAGCTTTTATAGACATGTGATAAAAATAATAATAATAAATTAATGAAAAAAAAAACTTACAGAAATACTTTGTTGTTCCGCTTGACTTTGTTTTTTATCTGCATTTGAAAGATCTAAAATGCAAATGAAAAAAGAAAAAAACAATAAAATGAATTATAAATAATAAATTATAGATTAAACCAAATTATAAATTTAAGGCAAAGAAAAGTTCATATAACATGACCTTAAGTTTCATTTTTTTTTCTTATTGAAAAGTATGGGGAACTTATTAAAACAAATAAGAAGTCTCTAAACTGTTATACTTCTTTCCAAAACATTCGTTTTCTAAAAACAAATTATTTTGTGATCAGGTTTGTATAAGATTGTATTTCAGTTACATAGAGTGTTGAGTTCAGTTACATACACAGGGTGCATAGCCAAATCTCTCTCTCTCTCTGAACAACAACAACAACAAAAAAAAACAAGCACAATTAAACTAGTACTTTTTAAGCACTCAAAAAATATTTTTAAGCACTATATACATTAACAAAATGCAAAATTATTTTAAAGACTTTACATGATCATGCTAAAATAACTAGTTTCTGACAAAGAATTCTTTTCAATTGCTGGAAAAAACGTAGAGAAAAATAGGAACAGCTGAACATACTTAAATGATGCTATAGTAAATGAATTAGTTAGGTATACCTGAATATCATCTTTAAACATTCCAAAGACTGCACTCCGAGTGGTAACCCTTTTTTAAAAGACAAAAAATAAGAAACAAAACTCCCAGTTTCTAAATAAAAACTCAAAATACCCTGCATTTTAGGGGATTTTTAAATTCCCTGTGCTTTCCAGGTTTTTCCTGTGTAGTGCAACTCAGTAAATTGTTGTTCAGAATCGTTAATTGTTATTATTAAGTTGTTATTATTACTTTAAATATTCTGAGCACTTCCAGGTTAACAGATATATTAATTTAGAGCAAGTTGAAGTGGTTGGAATTTTGATATATGAACGGAACAAACAACAAAAGTTTTCCATAAAAATTTGGTTAACAAGCTTGAATTGGCATCAGATTCAAAAGCAATTAGAGCACTTAAGCTAATGCAAAAGTAGATGAAATTTTGATTGATAATAAGGCTGACAGTACAATAGCATTGACAATAAGGGTGAGACATAAATACTGCTTACAGTAGTGAGCAAGTCAAAACTGGTAGAAATTTCAATGGACAATAAGCTATTTTTGGCAATAAATTTTGCTGGGTTGCCACTCAAAGCTATAAAAAAATTTCCCTGTACATATATTGAGAGGAAACACAATTACTGCACTCTTGCGTGAGCTATATTAGGCTAACTATACTAGTTTTAATTGCTGGAAAAACACAGGGAAAGAAAGGTACAGCTAAACAGTAATGCTATAGTAAACAAAATAGTTTAGTATAGTTGGAATATCATCCTTAAATATCCCATAGATGGGTAGTCACCATTTTTTAAACAGGGTTCCCACTCAATTTGCAAAAAAAAAATTTTCCTGACTTTTCTAGGTATACCAGGTAAACTTCAATGAAAATTGAGACTATACTTTCATCACACAAAATATTATTAAATGAGGATGGGAACATTTCATTTTGACTAAAATGTGAAATTTTTACAACAAATAATTGTAATCGATGTAAGAATTATTTAACTAGAATATCAATAACCGAGTACTGTTACTGACAAATTTAAGACTGGCTATTTTCCAGGTATAATATAGAAGCATTCCAGGTTTTTGTAAAAAAAATTGCAACTTCCCCTGACTATTCCCTGATTTTTGGAGTTAAAATAAAATTCCCTGACAGGAAATATTTTTCCCTGTTCTCTCAGACCCGTGGGAACCCTGTTTAAAAGACAAAAATAAGAGACAAAATTCCCTGTATTTTCCCAGTTTGTAAAATAAAAAATCAAAATTCCTTGTTATTTTAGGTGATTTCTAAATTCCCTGTACCTACCAGGTTTTCCCAGTAGAATGGCAACCCTGTTCTGCTTGGAGTGATGAAGAAACTTGTATTGTCCTCAGGCAATGAGTACCAGTGGAAATTTAAGTACTCTAATCAAAATTTAACAAAATGCGCTTACAGTTTGAAGGAAAGGAAATTGCTTGATACAAAGGACAGCATAACAAAAATTAAACAGTTAATAGCATCCCCTATTAACAAATTTATTATTTTTTTATTAACTACTTATAAGATATAAATGAAACATAGTAGTTTTGAAGTATTTTGTGATAATAATAAAAAAAAAAATATTAAAATGTGAATATAGTTCGTATTTGTAACATCAGTCGCATAAAAATTTTAACATCATTCAGGGAAGCTTTTTTTCTACTTGTCATTTCATGTGTTTCTTGTTAATTTTAAGTTTTTTAAAATAAGTTTTTTTTTTATAACCGTCATTCGACGGCCAATCTAATTTTTGGGTTTACGACTACTAATGTTCAACTTCGCGGCCTTGCAATTTTGAACCCAATCCAGAAGACAAGGAAACTCCTGGAGCAAATTTTGGGAGATATTTGCCTTTGTGGAGGACTTTTTGATGGAACAAACAGGCGTTTGTGTTACATGGTGAGGAAAACCATGACAACCTCCCATAGTTAGCCTCCCGGCAAGGGGATTCTAACCCGTGATCTGTCTACCCCAGTTGATTGATTGATTGAATGTAGGGTTTAATGGCACAAAGTTCAAATAAGGACATGCTGCGCCAAACAGCTGTCTACCCCAGAGGATATTTTATGTTAGCACAGTGGTCGGTGCAAACTAGATGCAGAATTTGTATTGACCAACTATCGCTGGGATTTGAACTCGGTTTACCCTATTGAAAGGTGAACGCTCTGACCTCCTTAAATAAGTATATAAAAGTCCCTAAAAGGAGAATTTCAAAATAAAGACATAATGTTTTACTCCATGTCCTTTTAAGTACCCCAGTCACATTTTATATTCTAAATAATTATATCATTTTTTTCCCCTTTTCATATAAGCATAATAATATTAGGCTATTGAAAAACGTTACATATAATTTTACACAATTATTAAATATTTATCAGTGAAAAAAAGTTCAAAAAGAAGAAAATTTATCAAAATGTTATGTCAGTCACAGTGGAATTATTTGAAAAAACACCCAACTCTGAACGAGGTGAACCCAGGTTTGACTCTCAGTAACAGCCGGTCCCAGAGCTCAAACCTATCATTAGTACTGGCGTAAAATATTCTCAGTGGTAAAAGGAACATAGGTCGGGCTAGATTCTCTGTTCCATGAACATTGCAAATGCATGAAAAAATAAAAGTCATTCATGAAAATTAGTTTGTCCAAGAGTTCCTTTGTCTTCTGGGTTTAGTTCAGTATTGTGAGATGAAGTGATAGTAATACACCCTAAATAAGGGTTGGCTGTTCAATGCTGATAAAGAAATAAACTCTGCTCATAACGGTCAGAAGGCAAATGAAATCTGCATAGTCATAAGACTTAAGAGTTTTTTCGGATATTTGTGTTCTCTAGCAAGTCGGAAAGCGGTTGTTTTGGCAGCCTAATCTGCCTCATATATCAATGTGGAAATGCTCTTTATCTATGAAAATTAAGCTCTAGATTCAAAAAGTAACGAAGGTCTGCTATTTTGAATTCTTTAAAATCATAGACCACAATGAATTGTTTTATTAAAACAATGATGAAATTTCAATTTACAGGAAGGTAATTTTGCATATTTCATTTAATTAACCTAATTCTAAGTCTTGTATTTGTTACATTTATTTTGTTTAATAAATTTAAGTAATTATTTATTTTAAATCTAATAACATACCTGCCAACATTCAAGAAATAAAATAAGGGAGATTTTTTGGCGACATTCTAGTGACAATTTTTGGGTTAAGAGTATTTAAGTTTTGATACATCATGCATAATCATGTAAGTCATAAAGATAAATTCAAAATTGGAAATATTATAAGCACTTACATTTAGCACAATAAAAATAATGTTTATAAATCTTAACTTAAAATTTTTTTTAAAACCATTTATAATAACTTAAACTATTTTATAGCCGTTGTAAAACAGTGTACTCAATTTTAGGCTGACAGCTACTAATGTTCAACTCCGTAGCATTGTAATTTTGAACCCAATCCAGAAGACAAGGAAACTCCTGGATGAATCAAGTATTAGGAAAAAATTGCAATCATGGAGGACATTTTGATGGAACTAACCCACATTTGCTTTACATGGAGATGAAAAGCACCAAATATACAGGTAAACAGGAGATAGTCGTAAAACACAGGAGTCTTTGTTAAAAAAGATACAGGAAACTTGGCAGGTATGCATTATCGATACTTAAATAATACTTACCAGTATTGTCTTCTTCTTCAGAGTCTTCTTGACTAGACTCTGAATCAGAACTATTTAAATCAACGTCTTCTCCCCACACAGGTTTAGATTTTCTATCTTGATTAATTCCAAGATATTCCTTGAATTGGGGATCATTTTTAAGCTGAAAAAAATAATAATTTTAAAACTGTATCAGCAGACATAGATAAAATAGAAAGGGAATACAAAATCATACTTAAAATACTTTCAGCACAAGCAATTAACTGATCCATGTAACCAGTTTTAACTCTTGACCCATGTAACTAGTTTAAACCCTGATGTTGATTATTATAAACCACTCAGAAATATTTCGAGGCTAACATTTAATAAATATTTTTATAAGAATCACTTTTCAGTTCTTCTATTCTTGCACTTCTCACTTTACAATATATACTAGTACAAAAAAAGAGCATTAACACTGAATTGTTTCAACATATTTTATCATTGAAAGATGCAAGCTTGACTCAAATTACAAAATTTAATGTTGCCATCTAAGAAAAAGAGTGATATGTTTACAACATTATGTTATATTAAATTCAGGGTAAAATAGGGAAATTTTTCCCTCTTTATAATCAGTTAAACTAAAAAAATTTCTGTGATGCTAGCAAAATTTACACAAACTGTGTCTGCGTATGTTATGCATATCTTTGTGCCAGAAAAAATAAAATACTAAATGATACAACATAGCAAATGAATTATTAATGAAAGAATTTTTTTACATGTTTTTTCATGAAGATTTCGTATTTTTCTCACATTAAAGATACTCTTTTTAAAAATAAATTATGCTTTTTATTTTTTGGGTTGAGTTACACAAAAAATACCCAATATATGATAGCAAACATTACAATAAACAAGTAATATAAAAAGAAAAATTTAAAGTCGTTTCCTAATTAGGCTAACAAAGAAAAAATTTATTTTAGTTAACTTTTTATTAAATAATTAGAATTTTTTTCTGTCACACACAACAAAAATTAATAAGTTAAATTTAATTAATGAAATAATATTTGAAAAAAAAAACTGTATTAACATAAAGTTAAAGTGAACTTAAATGGATCAAACAAAACTATTTTATTAAGGATTGAAAATTTGAACAAAATATAGGGAGAGTGCGAACTAATAGAAGGAATTGAAAAAAAAAGGCATGTGGTATCAGATAATTATAAAAGTATAAATTTGATGACGTAGAACACACGTGCTACCACTTAATGTTCTTTATTAAATTTATCGGACACAAAGAATATTAAATAATTAAATATTTAAGTGTGCACAGTAAACTATTCTTTTGTTCAAATAGTGCTATAAATCAGAAATAATCACTGATGTTATTTTTAAAATATGTGAAAAACTGAATGGCTTATATTAAAATGTAAAATGATGAGTAACGTCTAACCATTCAGAGAATTCCATTTTGTTTTTTTGCTCATCCCTATTTACAGTGCCGTTCCTGGGGTGGCGAACGCTTGCGTGCAAGAATAATTTTGTGCGCCCCTATATACTAAGCTTAAATTTTGATGATAAGTTTTGATGAATTTGGCACCCCTTAAATTGGGCGCCTGCGTGCGGGGCATTCGCTGCATACCCGCCAGGAACCTATTTAATTATAGAATTAAAATATTTGAAAATTAAATATTTAATATTTACTACTTAAAATATTTGAATTGAAAAAGAGATTTAAGATATAACTCAGGCTTACTTCATCAGGTACAAAATCATTTTTTTTTCAATGACTTAACATTCACATCCTGCAAATAAAATGTAAAGATTAATTGATGAGGTTGATTTGAAACCTTATGACAAATTAATAACAAATGTACAAAGATGAGTAATAAACTATATAAACCATTTTGATGTACACAGTAAAAAGTATTTTAATATTTAGATATGGCAAAATTTTTAATTGAAAATATTATTTCAGAAACTGAAAAATGAAGAAACTCTAGCAAGTTTTCTAAAAATAAATAAATCAAATAAATAAAAATCCAATATATGCTTAAAAAAAACTAAATGAATACTAAAATCATTAATCTACAAAATTGTTCTTACAGAAAATTGTAATGGTATAATGAGCGGCACTTGAACCATTTAGTTGCAGATGGAAGCATTTTAATGTAGTTGTAACCAATTTTAATAATTATCTGTGGTAAATTTTTTTTTAACATAAAAATTTTTTGAGAAAAATGGGGAAATTATAATAATTGAAATGTTTCATATAAAAATAAAACAATAAAGAATGTGAAATCCATGCATAACCCAAACAAAAAATAAAATAAATAATAAACAAATGAAAAAAAACCCTACAGCTTTACTACAGACTGCATATAATGAATGGTTTAAAAACCATTTTAATATAAACAGAATAAATCAATGATTAGAAATATGGTAAATTTTTTATTGAAAATATTGTTAGAGACAAATAGGAAAATTTTAAAAAGTGGTATGGTTTCCTTAAAAAAACAAAAAACAATAAATATAATAATAGTTGGAATCAAATCTGAAGGTGAACTGTTTGTACCTAATAAAACTCTTAAGATGCCCAGTTATGTTACTTTCCGTAACTTAAATAATTTACTAGCAAAGAATGCCTAGGCATTGTATATAATGCCAAGAACTAGCTGACAATGCATGAAACGTTCAAACATTTCCTAGGGAATTTTGTGGAATGTCAAGTGAAAATCTAGCAATGTATTAAATTCGTTTCAAATGTAATGCATATGTAAATGTAATGTAATTCAAAATTTCCTTCAAGCCTACCATGTTGAAACACTGTTTTTCAATTTCGTTTTTTGATTTGAAAATTTTATTTCCCTTAATAAGGAAGGTATAAATTTTGTTTCGTAAAACTTTAATTTTAGTTTATATATTTTTATTTCAATTTTTTTAGTGGCCCTCTAATTAATTCTTCAGTATAACATTTGTATTTTTAAGGAATGCACATCATTTATATAACAGCCTTATCAGGACCTTTTTGTATACCTTACATTTGTCATTTTATAGAATGCCTAGGGAAAGTATATAATAATTCTCAAATTTTATACTTTGTCAAAAAAACTTCAAGCATTTTATAGAATAACAGTGCTTCATATTTTCTTTGACAATTCATATGAAGTCTAACCAAAGCTAACAGTATTGTAGGCAGAGACTGGTAAAACACAACTGTTTATTAATTTAAATATTAATATTTGAAGAGAGCATCAAATCTGAGCAAAATTGGTGTGTTTTGCTTTTAATATTAGGAATTATGCTGCAGGAAAATCGTTTTTCTTTTCCTTTATTGATTCAAAGCTCTTTGGGAGCTAAGGCCTTCTTTAGAACTTAATTCCATTCTACTCCTTTCTTAACTTGTTTGGTTCTACATAAGCTAAGTTTGGTTCTATATAAAGAAAATTTAACTAGAAACATTTAAGGGCTCCTCAGATGCCCCAAGTTTGGAGATATTACTTGGAGAGCAAATTTATTGCTTGTTCATTGGAATTGTATTTAAAAAAAAAAAAAACTGGAAGTTTAATTTATTAGAGTTACATGTATTTTATCATCAGAATGGTATTCAAGTTTTGTTGAATCCTATGTCAATTGAGAAAGTTTTGAACAAACAAGCCATGCTGCTAGCAAATCTAAATCATTTACCTATAAAATTTGAGAAAAAGTTTAATTTATGTCATGAAGAGTTAGAGAAAAGGGGACATATCTCTAAGTGATAATGTGGATTTTTTTTTAGGGACTAACTTAAAAAGTAAGCTACTGGTCAGCCCTCAAATAAATAATTTCAACCAATTGCAAAGAAGTTTAATAATTTTTTTTTAATTTTTACTTTTGTCTGCTCTTTTTCCTTTGATTTCTTGAATTCTAAAGATTTTTTCCAGGACTTTGGCTTATTTGTGTCCCCAAATTTGAACAAATCTCCACCTGTGAAGAAAAAAATATTAATTACAACTGTAAATTTGTGATAAAAAATAATTTACAATAATTTTAATAAATAATCTTAAATAATAATAAAATAATTTTAAAAAACCACATAACTAACATAATACTTTCCACATGACTAACATCAATAAGCATTGAAATTATAACATCAAGATTACTAAATGTAGATATACTAATTCAAGGTGTGAACTTATTAAAGAAAATTTTCTTCAATTAAAGAATTTTTAAAACATATGTAGATCAAGGTTAGTTATTTAACCAAAGATATAAGTATTTAATTTATGTTGAGTAAAATACATTCAGGAAAAGAAAATCCCAACACCAAGAAAAATGTATTGTGGAGTAATGAAATTTCGGCAATGCCTTTGTTTCAGTAACATATTTAATTTATTAAAATTTCAAGATTAATGCAATTAAGAGAAAAACCATTTCAAATGTGAAATACTGGTATATTAATAACTGGTGTAACCACCAGAATTTTGAATGCAAGCATGCATTGTGTCATGCAGATGCCGTACGTCATTTTGTGGAATGGTGCACCATCCCTGTTGCATTTAGTCAGTTAATACTTAATACAGAGATAGTTAATGTTAATTGTGGATGTCGTGTCCCATATGTGTCCGATTGGTGCAAGATCTGGTGATCTAGAAGGCCAAGGCAACGTGTTGACATTCTGTAAGAGCATGTTGGGTTACAACAGCAGTATGAGGATGAGCATTATCCTGTTGGAAAATACTACCTTGAATGCCGCTCATGAATGGTGACAAAACAGGTAGAATCACCAGACGGACGTACAAATCTGCAGTCAAGGTGCATGGAATAAGCGTGAGAGTGCTCCTGTTGTCATAGCAAATTGCTCCCCAGACCATAATTCCAGATATAGGCCCAAAGTGTCTAGAAACTCACCTGGCCTCCTTCTAATCTATATACAGATATCACTAGCACCAAGGCAGAACTAACTTTTATCAGAAAACACAATAGATTTCTACTCTGTCCTCCAATGAGTTCTAACTATTGGCGAAGAACTGGGAAATATCCTCGAGCATGGTCCGAAGACATACCATCCTAGTTTCGATCCTCTGTGGAAGGGAATGATCCTTTGCTTTTTCACCCCACCATCCCGAGCACGAAGTCAAGTGCTTTACAGTAAAACGGTTTAACGAGGACCAATATCGACCACCCTCAATCTGTTTGGAGGCTGATCTAAGTGATCACCCATCTGATATATAAATGATCCAATATAGAAAACAAACATTTTTGAAATATATCGAAGCATTAATAAATCTCGTGATGGCCAAAATTTGACCATTTCTAAGTTGGACTTTATTTATGTCAATGTTTCTTTATTGATGTAAAATGTACTCATTGATATAAAACGTATTCATTGATTTTAAGTACTAGGTACTTTAACACATATTTTTTGTAATGTTAAGTATAATACAAATAACTATGTCAATTTGTTTATTTAATAGTTCCATTATTTTTAACACATATTCTAGTTTATTCTAAAATTGTGTAAAGTCAAATGAATTTTTATTCCCTTGTTAAAGAAAAATCAATTAACAACATAAACTTTGCTTCTAAAAATATTTTGAAAAATTTGCAAAAAAAAACTATTGTAAAAAAAAACACTATCATTTTAAGCATAGCTGCCAACACGGAAAGGAAAAAATCGAGTAGATTTTACGAAATATTATAAATTTCAAGATAAATGTTGCAAAATATACTAAATATTTTACATATAGGGAATTTTAAGGAAGTTATCAAAATAGAAAAACTGCAATATTTTTCAGTTATGATTTTACATTAAATGATCTTGAAATGTATGTTTATTCATAATTTTGAATAGTAATAGGCATTCATTTCATCAAAGATTTCAGATTGGCATTCAACTGAATTTTATAAATGAGGCTTGCTTTAGTGTGTAATAGTGACACTTATTTAAATATTTAAACAAGCAATAATCTTCATAAAAATTCTATTTCAGTGGGGATTTTTTAAGGAAACTTACTCAATTTTAGGGAATTTTCTAAAATGTACAATAACCAGAGGAATTTTTATTAAACCAGAAGACCAGGAGAGACTGGTAAAATTCAGTAGAGTTGGCAGCTATTAGACATAGCTGCCAACTTTACTGGAATTTACCAGTACATTTCAAATAAAAAAAGTTAAGTTCCAAAAAAATAATAGGCCCTGAGAATTTTTAGCATCCCTGTTTTCAAATACAAAATACAGAACATCATAAACATGGATACAGGCTTATCTCTACTTATTTCACTCATTAATATAGTCTAATTAATTTCAGTAATGTATATTCTAATAGATCAAGATGGCAAAAACTTATTAGGAATACCTTGGCCTGTCATAAGCTGTAGTGCCCAAGAAGAAGAAGAATATATATTTTGGCGAATGTAACTATTCACTCTGTCAAATTAGAATTTAGACCTAAGCATATTCAGGTTTTCATTCATTTTGGTGAATAATAAAGTTTATAATCAGGGTAGGGGGTTTTGGACAGGACATAAACTGTCCTAAACTGCCTTAAACTGTCCAAAACCTTGAACATTGTTAAGAGATAAAAATCTTACATATGTAACCATTGTACCCTTAAGGCAGAATTTTTTCGAGCTATCTGTGACAAAACTCTCTAGGAATAAATATCTTTCTGCAAAATACTTTTAATAATAAACATAAATGTTACTAATTTAAAATAACAAAAGCGCTGGTTTACAAAAAACAACAACTATATAATCCTTTTTAATTGAACATGTAGTAATTTTTTATTCTAATATTATGGGCGATATTCTCGGATTTTGTTGAGGGAGGGGGAACGCCCAAATTATTTTCTTCCCTTTTTGTAAATAATCATCACAATAAAAAAGTAATTAAAAATCATGTAATCTGTGTAGTAGTAATTGCCGAAAAAAGATCGACGTAGAAATCTCGCGAATCAAACTCCTCAAATGCGTGCTTCGTCTCGAGATTAGGTTGCAACATTATTGTATAAAAAATATCGAATTTAGAAACTATGGAGAAATCAATAGCAATAACTGCCAAAAATTCTATAAAATTGTTGCCCTAAAAAGTATATACTCAAATGCACGATTCGAATTTTCCATATTGCTTAAAATATATCGGGATATTTAAAAACCCCATGAAAATCAATATCAATAATTTTCGCAAATACAACCAAAACATTATATTGATGTGGCATACTATCCGCGAAAATTGAGAGCACCAAAATGTGATTATCCAAATGCATGATTAAAATACTATGTGTAAATCTCTATAGAAAAGAAAAGTATAAATTTTTTTTTCAATTTTCAAAAGAAAAATCTTTCTGACTCTGTACTTTCTCCGACAATGTCACCGTGCTGCTGCGATTCTGCCACTGGCCATTGTATACATAATATTTACATTTATTAATAAATGTGTGATACTTTACATACAATTTAAATTATTAAAGGAAAATAATATGCAATAGGAAAAGATTAATAACATTTGAAACTGCACAATTCATTGAATAATAAAAGTGAATACATTATCCATTAAATATGCTTTTGATACAAATAAATTATGTTTCAGCATAAGGATAAATAAAGCAATATTAGAAATAATAATAAACTTTTTAAATAAAACAAAAACTTATCTTCATTTCGTTACTTGTTCAAAAATTAACTTTTTACAGGGGTCTGTCCAGGCCAAATTTACCACCATTTAGCAGTACCTTAACAAATTTAACTTGAGGAAAAACAATAATTTCACAAAATACTCCTTGTTAAAATTTTATTTTTGAGTCCCGTACGAAACGATAAATCCATATTTTTATGTTGATTTGGTAATATAATCTTTCCGAATTACGTTTAAATTTTTACAAAAAAGGTACCTCTCAGAAAAACCTAGAGAGACCTTAGTTTAATTTGCATATTATTTTTTACAAACTTGTGACATAATTTGAACAAAAGGGTTTTGGACAGTTTTGGTCTGGATGGTTTAAACTGTGGATTAATCCTTTCTGTCCTAAACCTTGCCAAATCTGTTTATAATTACAATTTACTATGCTTTCAATTGAGTTAATATAACACATTATTTTAAAATCATGGGGAGTTAAACTTTAAATTTGATAATCACTACAATAAAAAAGAAAGAAAATAAATATAATAGGATAAGTACCTGGATTTTAGAAGCATGAAAAAAAGTATTATGAAAGATTTTCTTAGCATTAGTTGCTTCCTTTTCAGTTGTATATCCAATGATGGCAAACTGCGAAAAATTAATTGCTTGTTATACTTTAATTGTAAGTCTGTTATTTCACCTTTTGCGGAAAAAACCTCTTCTAATTTCTTGGCAGTAATCTAATTTTTTAAGAGAGAAATACATATTTAAGTAACAAAATAAATTTATTATGAACTTTATGTATAACTTTTTCTAGGAAATGACCAAAAAAAAAAAAAACTTTATAATACTTTAGGGAATGAATCAATGAAGGAACGAATTTGTTTACCAAATTCAGAATCAGTGAATAGAAAATCAATAAAAATTGTAAAAAAGAAATGCAAAAATCATAAGAATAATCAGAATATATATTACAACTTATGCAAAACTTTAAAAAAAATAACCTTAAAATTATTTTTATAAAACTAGTGACGTGTAATAACAAAAAAATCATATCTAGTAAAGTTTTTAAATAGATTAAAAGTTTTATAATTATTTTTTAAAGAGTTAGATCTATCAAAAACTAGATATTATAGCTCATAAAGGAATATTCTTAAATAATTATAACATGTTTTATGTTGAAATAGAATTAAGTTTCCATACTATTTAGTAAAAAAATAAGATTATCTTAATTTAAATTCATGTGCACTTCATATTTCAGATTTACATAGAAGAAATTTTAAACTTAATACAGTGCACCTTCACAGAGCTAAACCAATTGGAAAATAAAATAAATAAATACATTGTGAAGAAGAAGAAAAGAAAAATTCAATCGACATAAAATAAATTGATAACTTACATCTTTAGGTAAATTTTTTACAACTATTCGAGACATATCTAAAATGAAAGAAAAATATTAATATTGTAGAAAATGGAACAGTTGATATACTTTATAATAACATAAAACTTAAAAATATTGCCTTAAATTAATATATTCCATAAAATTTATTGATAATAATTCTTTAAGGCCCACCAAAATAAAAAATAAAAAACGTGATTAGAATGTTTACAAACATGAAGCACTTCAAACACGGTCGCGAGCAAGGCAAACATTGTACAAGTTTTTATTTGAGTTTTGCTTCACTAAAGATCCATCCTCAATAGGTGATCACAACGCTCGAATACGTCATCTGGGGAGAAGGCCGGTTCCATGCTTTCGTAGTACGCCAAAAAAGATGGAAAAAAAAAAAGAGAAAGAAAATGGACTACACAAAATAATTTTTGTTCTAATGATCGAATCCGGATCAACAAGTTCTCGACTTTGCCTTATAACTAAAGTGTGTAGGGTTGGAACGAGAAGTTCCGGCACGTCCAGACTTCATACTCGAGAAGTATGAAGTCTGACGTGGAAGTGGTAGACGGCCGTTTTGTTCTCTCGTCGGACTCTAC